TTTCAAAAAATAGTAGCAAATAAGCACCGCACTCGATGGACGCATGTAGTAGGGCTGCTGATTGGTTCAAATTCTACAGCATCGTTGATGCCCTCAAAAAGTCGGACAGGAAGAACCGCGCCAATTTCTTCAGTACCACTGTTTTGAAGGCAGTGACGTTACAGATGCGAAACCGAGGCTAGGACGTCAATGCGATCACGCGAGAAATCGATCCGGTGAGCAGATCATTTTGCTCGCCCTGTTGACGACCGATGGACGTCGCTCTTGGTAAGTGGCGTCTTTGAGAAATGGGACGACCACTCGGGAGGTTGGAAGGGTGACGCACGAACATCGGCCAGGCAGTGGGTACTAACTGGAAGTACGTCCATCACAACTGCGCCGGGTTTGTGAAAACGTTCCAGTAACACCACAAGTATGAAATAGCCACACTGACTAATTGGCATGCTTGTTATATAATATTATAATTGGGGAGCCATCAACAGATTTTTCAGCAGGCGTTCGCATTTGTTGCCTTCCGAATACTTCCAAATATCTTCGTCTCTCACAAAGAGCGATTACGGAGGGGGCTTTGACTTTTTGAGTATTGTATTTACACTCCTTATTTCATGATAATTTTAGTAGCTGAAGCGCCGGCTAAAAAGTTCGTTCAAATTTTTCAGCTTGGTTGTTTCGTTCAAGGAGTAGAACACCTGCACAAAAAATCTTGGCTTCGCTTTTTCAAGACAATTTTATCTTGCGTCCATTTCACCAGAAAAAAAGATTGCTTCTGTTAAAAAGTAGCAGGATGCGTCGAAAGTGGTAGAAATGAGAAAATAAAATGATCGATAAAATGCCGCAAAATATCAGTAAAGCGATGCAAAATGAACACGAGGAACGGCAATGACAGTGATAAAACCAGTTGTTACGAATCCATGTTCTCTGGCACACATCATTACAGCGCCACCGTCAACCAGCACAACCATCTGCACTATCGCTTGAGAAGTCAAAACTTTTTGTGGCTTGGGAGGCTGCATTTTTAATAGCACTTCCTCCAGAAATGCATCGGTATATAAATTTTCTTCCATAAACACTGCGCTGCAAGCGCTTAAAAAAAACAAAGTGCAGAAGTGGGCCTGGAATCAACATGCTGAAACAGGCAGTCAGTGCAGATTACTAAAATACTGACCGTTAATTCGTGTGACTAGACAACATACATTTGGAGAAAATGAACAGCTCCGTATCAGGCTTCTAGAAAATGCATGTGCGCTACAGTTTCCAGTAGGTGTTGTATGCGACCAGCGCTGCCGTACAGTTCAAGTTCTTGAGCATCGACAATATTATGATATGTTATTTAAGCCAAACGGGCCGTACTTGCCTTTCTGATGAGAATGCCGTGTATTCACAGTAATGAACACGCCAACTCTGAAACGGAACCACTCGCAGTATGAACCAAAAATGAACCAAACTTGACGCAAATAGCACTACAGTAACCTTTGCCCATAGCGGCTATCAGAAAACCATAAGAGAAAGTCAAATTTGCAGGGCAAAACATGACAGCAAAACCAGTTTACAAAAGCATATTTGTTTTGACAAAATCACTAAAATGTATTTGTTAATTATCAATGTAAGGGTGATTACGTGTCTGTATATATACATATATAATTACCCTTATATATATATATACCTCTTATGCCCCTCATATATATCCCTTATAACCTTATATATATTTATATGTATGATAGACGTAGACTGTTGCAAAAGGAAGATGCTAGCAGCAAGAAAGCGAAGTTGTTGGCTAAACCCTTTCGCCTTGTCCAGCTGTCCTTCGATTTCTTGTGATATGCAAATGCCCTGTCTCTTGACTCGATTCCGCCTCTGCGATATTTAATGTAGTGCTTAGAAATGAAATTTGGATTATTTTTTACGCGTTTTTGCTGTGCAGCGCTATAGCAGCGCTATAGCGCTGCTACAGCCAGCAAAAAC